TCAATAAGAGAAGAGTATTTGATGTTTTGCATAGTAAAAAATTAAATTCGAGAACTGGGTTTCCTAAAATTTCATGTAAAGTTTAAATAGTTCTGTAAATAGGTACATTTTGTAATCTGGAAGGAAAATGAAGTGAATAATGATACAGGTATTTTCCCCACTTAATGGGGAAAAAAACAACTATGCTGTCTAAACTATTGAAGTCTCAGGCCAGAATATACCAGCCAGACTCATGTGCACACACCACTGAGCGAACACTAACTCTCCTGGGTTCAAGCAATCCCATTAAACATCTTAATAGGCATGTTATCTGTAGATATCATACCTCCAGATATTTGCAAAGGAAATGGCACTATCATGGCTAGAGTAAAGAAGACCCAGTTAACTAAAAGAAAAAAGACCCCATTTACAATATAGAACATCAGAAACTCAGCTTGGATTTGAGAAATTGCCAGTGATTTGTTTGAGAACATGATACCATGGATTTTTCAGACACTGAGATCATTATTCCAGTTCCTTTTTAACTGGGACAAACAACACTATTCTAACATTTATAGGTTTGTCCAGTGGTCCAGTGTAATGACTAAATTGATTGTCAGATAAAATGTCTGGTAAATATGTCACTAGGCAGAGTATGTGTAGGAAATAAAAATAAAGGGTTGAGACTGTTGTTCGGATAATTTAGCCAAATATTCTCTTCCAATGCATGACAGGTTTTTATGTAGGCTGAATCGTTCAGATTTATATTAATTGAATCATTACATAATTACTGAACTTTCTATTTTACTTGAAAAGTGATGGTTGTTTTTCAAGATGAATAGGAAGGCATTCTAGATATTTTTGGTAGAAATTCTCGGCTATAATTATCACAGACCTTGGGAATCTTTATAGGGAAAACATATCTAGCCTCTATTTCTAAAACTTGTGAGTCTTTGGAGTCAATACAGGATAAAAAACAACAGGCTGCTTCCCAGAGAATTCTCTCTGTATATTTATCCTGTTTCTTACACATCAGCTAACTTATCCAAACAACAAAAGACACAGTACCTATCTGTACACGTGGAAAAAGGAGAATTCATACCCTATTTGAATCAAAGGTAGGCTATGTCAAGATCATTGTATTGTCTTAAGCAACTAATAAAAAAAAAGAAAAAAGAATAGAACAAATATAAGTTACTTATTATTGCTACCAAATCACAGTCACCTCCTCTCCTCCTCTTTTCCCTATCTTCTAGAAGAAACTCAAAGCAGTACCTGGGGCAGCCTGTAGCAACTCCATCTCAAATCTTGCAACTTTCTATATCTCCTTTTACCCAAGGTCAACATGAATGCCCTGGAA